CATAAAATTCACTCATTACAATTCAATAGCTACTCATATCCACAAATATGTGCAGCCACACAGATTTAAAGCACTTTCAATATCTCAGTCACAAATCCATATTGTCCATCCACAGTGCCAAGAGAAAGATGAGACTCTCTGCTCTCTTAAGGATTTACAATCTAAAAACTGCCAGGGGGCATTTCTACCCTGACCTGTACATTTGCTGTGAGTCAGAATTAACTCGATGGCAGTGCACTTTTGAGTTATCTGCATTGCAGACGGGCAGTCTCAAACTTCAGGCAGCCATAGGACTGCTGAGAATGCACACCATCCGTTCTATCTAGAGTACTGTACTGCATTCAGTGATTGAGCCGGGCTCACGAGACGCTTATACAGTGCTGGCAAACTGAAAGCCATTATTGCTATTAATAGAAGGCAAACATTAAACAATAACAGACTCCTAAAGACGTGAAATACCTATTCTTCCCCAAATGACTCATGTCCATTTTCAAGTTGCTGGGTAGGTTCAGATCAGATGCTTTGTTCGTGGTATTGTAGCCGTTGGCTACGACATTGCTACCTGTGACTTTTGCTCTGCCACTGGGTCTTGTTGGGCTCTATGCTGCTGGAGAGAGTTCCCTGCGTGGAAGTCCTAAGCCTCTGATGCTGGGCCCTTCTAAGCTGCTGTCAACTGCTGCGATGTGCCCTGGCCTGCAGGCATACCAGCCCTGGGGAGGAACCTTATAACCTCTGCATGAGGCACACTTAACGCCTCTTGCTCTGCACACAAGCATAGTGTTTACAGTTTTTTGGCACCACTGGCAAGAGCCTGAAGACAATGCCGCTTTACCAGCAAGCCTTCTGCATGAAGTGCTCTGTTCTGTAGTTCAGCAAGCTCATTGCTATCTTCAGCTGGTCTCCTGGCTCCCGCTGCTGTACTGCTGCCAGTGTTTCTCACTGCTGCACCATCTCGCACCATCTTCATGTTAACGCTCTTACTTCTTGGTCTAAGGAGTTCTCAATGCATGGACCTCTGGTCCTGGATCTCTAAAGGGCTCACTCTGCTCTATACTTTTCTTGATGATCATGTGGTCCCCTTCATTCAACATTTCTGGAATTCGCCCTTATGTAAGGAAACCCCTTTGTCAGTTTCAAGGCCTGGCCCTCTCACCAGGACCAGGATCTGACTAATCACCTCTGTAGGCCATATAGGTCACTGCATTTGCATAGTCCCAGCTAATTCTTTTGTGGGAGTTAATGAGAGTTAGAAAGATCAAATAAAGTGGACTGATTGTACTCTACCTGATAGCTTTTTATTATTACTTCCTTATTCTCCATCTCCCACAATGACTTAAACAGCCACTTGTCTATTACAGATTTTTCATAAAACTTAAAATATGTGATTTGTGATCTGTTGTGAATTGTTTCTTTGAATTAGGTGGTTTCCAGATTTATCCATTTTAACCATATGTCAAAATTTCTTTTATTTTTATTGCCAAGTAAAACTGTCCATATACCGCCTCCGGTTTACCCATTCATTCATTGATGGATATCTGGGTTGTTTTTACCTTCTGACCATTTTGTCTATTGCTGTTGTAAACATTCATGTAGAAGTTTTTATGTAAACATGTTTTTATTTTTGTTGAGTATGTTTGGTGCCAGACTCACAGTGATCCCAACTGAAGGAGGAGTACTTCCTGGAGGCGGGGGTGGGGGGTGGGGAGGGGCGGGGAGGAGGAGGTAGGTAAGGCTGTAATTTTCACAGGAGCAGTTTGCCAATTCCTTCTCCCGTGGAGCCTCTGGATGGGTTTAAGCCACCTTTCGGTTAGCAGCCAAGGGATTAATCTTTGCACCACAAGGACTCTTAATCTTGGGGTATATACCTATGTAATAGTAGGATTATTGCATTGTATAGTAACTCTAAGGAAGCCTGCTGGTGCTGTGGGCCAGGCATTGGGCTGTAATCACTGGGTCAGTGATTCAAAGCCACCAGCTGCTTTGTGGGAGAAAGATGAGGCAGTCTGCTATAAAGAGTTGTGCCTGGGATACACTATAGGGCAACTCCTCTGTGTCCTTGAGGGTCTCTGTGAGTTGAAATGGACTCACTGGCACTGAGGTTTTATTAATGGTAAATTGATGTTTCACTGAAGAACTTGTCTGACTTTTTCTAGAGTTGCTCCACCATTTTAGTTTCCCACCAGCAGTGTATGAGGTTCTAATTTCTTCTCGGCCTTATTTTTCTTGGGGCCATCCTAGTAGGTGTGAAGTGAATGGCTGTTGTTTCCGTCTGCATTTCCCTGATGACTAATGATGCTGAGCATTGTTTTGTGAACTTATGAACCACTTGTCTAACTTTTTTGATTTAGATTATTTGTTTATTTGTTAAGTTGTGAGAATTCTTTATTCTAGGTACAAGTATCTCATCAGCTAGGTGAGTTGCAAATATTCTATTATGTGGGATTGTTTGCTTTTTTAATATATGCTGTTGTGAAGATGGCAGGTTACCCTGCGCACAAAGGAACAAAGCACCTTTTGGTTCTCTTCCATTTCAGGACTGGTTGTGCAGACCTTCGGGATCTATAGGGTTTTCATGGGCTTTTCTCTTTTTTTTTTTTTTTTTTTAGGTAGCCTGGTCTGTCTTACTGTTTGAAGCATAGAGATTGTTTATTTTATTTAAAAATCGTTTTATTGATTTACAACTCATATCACAATCCATAGAAATTGTTTATTTGAATGACATGCAGATTGGTTATTTTGTTGTTGTTGTTCGTGTCAATGAATGTCAAAAAAATGCCTCTCGTATTGAATGTGCATTACAAATGAATTTTAGCATATGGTGCATTTGTATGGAATAACAAGAATTGACTCCTCTTCAATGGTTCATTTACTACACGTTTGCTTAGATTTATAGCCAGCCTTTACATTTACCTATCCTGACTTGCAAATTCAGTTTTCTTTTGATAAGACTGTGCTTTTCTTTTAAATAATTTTTCCCCAAAGCCATTAAATCTGTTAAGACACAGTTGTTATTAGCTGCTATTGAGTGCTCTTTGAATGGAACTCGACCCCATGGGCTAGTCTGTGCTCGGATCTTTAGGGGAGCCAATCTAGATCTCCATGTCTGTCTGCTGAGCTCACTAGCAGGTTCAAACCACCAAGCTTTTGGTTAGCAGTCAAATGCTCTGTGGTACCATGAGGGTCCCTTGTTGGTAATTTACTGAGAGTGAAATGAAATTAAAATCAACATTCTCTATCTGTGACCAGTAAGAAAGAATGTTACTAGGCGTATTGCCCAAATATGAGCGGACTTCAAAAAGTTTATGTAAAATGGAATTAAAAGATAATAAAAATTTTCCATGAACTTTTAAAAGTCCCCAATACATGATTGTGTCTGTAGAAACTTCATAATTATGCTAATCTTGTTAGCTAAAAATTAACTTGGATGAAAATCAGGAGTTTTAACCCCTTTATCAGGGTGTGTGATGGAGTGGCGCTGCTTAGGGAGCATAGTACTGATAATTCATCTGAGAATCTAGGCTCCCATGGGATCAGCTCTAGCTGGAAAAAGCACTGCCCAGGAAAGAATGACCTTGTAGTTTTCACCTGTCATGTGACTACATTGCCGAAATATAATTCAAAGGACGTTTTATTCCATCCATTCTGTTCTGAAATGAATTGATAAGTTATATGAAAGGTTTTTGTCTTGAAATATAAGGGGCTCATGTTTTCTACATTGTGAACATATATGTAGTTGCTGGGATGAAGCAGTTCCTTTCATTAGCCACTTTAGCCTTGTCATTTCTCAATGCGGCATTTAAAATCAGTTCTTTGTGTGCAGGAGGTAGAGGCAGCACATGTAACCATTGTCTCAGGCTGCTCATTTAAGTCTAGAGACCAGTACTGTTTTATTAATTTTTAATATAATGTAATTTAATTTAAATGCATTAAATTAAAATAGGTGTAAGTAATTAAGAGATAAAAGTTGTTGTTGTTGCTCTTTTCCCACCTGAGTAAACTCTTGCTACGTGGAAATAAATAATTGTAGTGATTCCTTCAGACTTCTGCAATCTGTGGTCATTCTTATAATTATTATTTATGGCTGTTAAAACTGTCTTCCAAGCTGTGTGCTTTAATTAGAGAAGGGGAGGAGGGTCATGCTATTGGATGCATTAGATGCTTAGGTATTAGATAACTTGTTAAGAGGTCAAAATGTGCCATTTTGGGTTTACTCTGTTTGTAGATTTAAATTATGTAAGTGATTTATTCCCATTGAAGAAAACTTATATAATACCGTTAAATAATTCTACCTTCCAGAGATGATTGCTATTAATCTTTTGAAGACAATCTTTGGTCATTTTTAAAGAAACCTAGAGCGCTCAATTAAGCATTTTCTATTACATAATATCACCTTACCAGGCAGGAGCGCTTACAATGTTCAGTTCCGAAGCTGAATAAAATGATTGCCTTTTAACAGAATGGCATGCCAATTTGAGGAAATATTTTAAACTAAATAATGCTCGAGAGTCTCTTTTGAAAATGGGACAATTGGTAGATGGATAATGGGGGGTAGGAACAGCTAAAATAGAAAACAAGGCAACAATTGTCTTTCTATTTCTGTGTAGTTAGCAGAACAGAGGGGGCCTTTGTCAGCAATTTCACGTTGATGAATTGGACTTATCTTTCTGATGAATATCCTATTTATACATACGTTGTTCTTCTTTTTCTCTAGAATTTAAAGGTGGCGGGGTCTCATCCTGGGCCCACAGTTTGGAGACTTGTATAATTTTATTTGTTTTGCATTTCCATGGAATGCTTATCACAGGGAATTGGCTTTGAACAGAGTGATTTGATCATATTAAGAAATTCGAAATAGTTTCCAGAGTCCGTAGAGATCTAAGTGTATAATTCCACTGGTGGGATGAAAATGCCTGGGACAGTGACAGTTTAATGGTGGTGATTTTCGATTATTTTTAAAGCAATCCATTTTTGAGTTCTTTATCCTTAACTCGCTCTTCCAGAATTCCTAGAGGACCTGTGCAGCAGCCTCTGGAGGATCGAATCTTTACTCCAACTGTCTCTGCAGTGTACAGCACGGTGAGTGGCACATGCTTGTTTATAGTTTGTGATGTTATATAATTGTTGTCACACATGGGCGCTTATGAGCAGTGCTTGACGGACACATGCTAGATTTTTCATGAAAGGGTCAATAACATTGTGAAAGGAATGCATAAAATTATATTAAGAATAGACACCCCCAAATCCCATCATCTTAATCTAAGAAATGGGATTAAGAGACTGTAATTTGAGATAGATTGGCCTGCACAGTCATCATTCTGTTGTTTACATAAAGATTACCCTCCTGCCTGGTCTTTAAAACTTTGAATTTTATTTATTTTTTTTTGGATTTCAACCTACCTTTCCTTCTTTTTACCCTACATTGTAACTTTTTCCTCTTTTACTTTTAAATGTATCCGTCTCATTCAATAGACATTTAAACAATGTTAATTTTCCAGTTGCTCTCAGGGAGATGTCAGCTCCCTTTGGGTACACAGTACTTTTCCCAAGGGCCATCCAGATGATCAATTGTGCATGTTAGGGTTAGTACGCCTCACTTCACAGGTGGGAACTCCACAGGCTCCCTCTGGACCTCAGCTGGCTCATCTGACAAGACAGGCATCCTCTTCACTGCCACTGAGATGGTTCTGTCTCAGCAACGCTGTAGATGAGCTAGAACTACCCACCCTGTGGTTACTGAGGCTGTAAATCTTTACAGGAGCAGAAAGCCAGCCTCCTCTTTCTTCTGAAGGGCAGCTGATAGGTTTGAATCACAGGCATTTCAGTTATCAGCTCCTTAATTTAGCTACTGGCTGTATTAAAGCCATCACCAGGGCTCCTTATATAGCTACTGCTTAGTCTCTGGGTGATACGTCTGTGCTTGGCTCAGACCCACCTGGAGCTGAGTTTTATTTTTGTTTATATTTTACTTACTTAGTTTTTTAGTCTCTCCCTTTCTCACCCCATTGCATGCTCATACAGAAAATGTAGAAAACCTAGAAAAAGAGAACACTGATTATAATATGAAATTGATATTGAATTCTTTTTTATATGGAATGATTAATGCATTTCATAAGGGAAGAAAAATTGAAAAGTTTGAAGATAAGGGTGATACCAATAAGCAAATTTTAGTGACCTTGCAGTAAGTCTAAGGGTATTGATTTACGGGGTTGGGGTTCAAAAATATCTTTTTAAATATAATAGTTCAATATACCATTGAATCCCAAGGAATATAAAGAAATAATCTAGTGAGGGAGGTGAGCAAATAAATACTTGTGATCTAAAGTGATCTGATGAAGCAGTGGTTCTTATTCTTTAGGTCATGTGTCACTTTTAGAATCGAAAAGAGTTGCATGCTTTCTCCTCAACAAGAGTGCAAACTAGGTTTTTGCATATAAATTCAGCCTCACCAATGCCCCCTAAGCCACCCATAGACCCAGGTTAAGAACCTTTGAGAATTTGTTGCTCTGAGGGGAAAAGAAGATTTCGAGAGACATAGTTAGGGGGAATGGCCAGTAGTCACAATCTGTGAGCAAAAGAAGAGAGAACAGATAGGTGGGTTTGGGAGAACGATGGCAGTGGATGAATTCTGGTTTGCCTGAAATAAGTGTCAGCTTTCATAGAACATTTAAACATCTGCTAATTATTTTCTGCACACTATTAAAATTTACCCACTTTGGATGATAAACTATCGATTATCCTAGTAATTGGGAACTTATAATTCCTATAGAAAAATTATTACTATTATTATTTTCTGGCACTCTTTTCCTTTTTGAGCATAGGGGTTTGTTTTGTTTCTTTTTTTAGAGTACCAGGGATAAGAGCATTGTATATTTTGTCCTGCATAACTTTTTTTTTTCTTTTTTAACATTTTATTAGGGGCTCATACAACTGTTATCCCAATCCATACACACATCAATTGTGTAAAGCGCATTTGTACATCGTT